AGCTAAATTTTTCTATATATATTTTTAGTTGTCAGATCATTTCTTTCTATTTTTTAGTAGAGACAGGGTCTCGCTCTTGTTCAGGCTGGTCTCAAACTCCTGACCTTGAGCGATCCACCTGCCTTGGCCTTCCAGAGCCCATTGACTTTTTTTAAAAGAAAGTACTGTGTAGGACCAGTATGAAGAGAGTGGGGCCCTTTACTGAGAAATTCAAAATGAGATTTGAATAAATAGAAAGATTGAGCTCTTTTTCTGTTGTTAATATTTTGAGTTGTACAGTGGAATGCACATCGCAAAGTGAAATTTTCAATGAGTTGTAATAAATGTATATACCTGTGTGACCATCACACTAATTAAAGATACAGAACATTTCTATCATTCTAATATAATTTCCCCATGTCTCCTATCCAGCCAATTTCCCCTTTTACCCCAGCTGATTCTTAGCACCATTGCTTAGTATTGCTAGTTCTAGGTCTTCATATAAATGGAGTCAGACAGTATACACCCTTGTGTCTGGCTTTGTGAGATACCATATTCTTCCATGATAAGGCTGAGTAACTTAAAAAATGAATTTTTCCCATATTAATACTAAGTTCACTAAATTTCATTAAAAAATTCAACCAGATTTGCCACTGTACACATGGGGATAACTTAAAAAAATTCAACTAGGATTATTTTTGAAATTTTACAAATTGATTCTCAGTTTTATCAGAATAAATAGATGAGAGTGATTGAGGAACTTAGAAAAGTAAGAATAAGGTGTTGGTGTGGTGGAACTTGCCCTGCCAGATGTTAAAATTTACTAAAATATCAACAAAAATAAAAGAATGTGGCAAGAAGATTAATTGAAGAAAACAACCAGAATTAAACCTACTCTATCCCCGCTTAACCTCACCCCATGGCGCTTGTCATATCACCATATCACTAACTTATGCAATAAAGGAAGTAATTTCTATGACCCATTGAAAGGAAATGAATTAGTAAGAGGTGTTGGGAAATTTTACTCTTTGGGGAAAAATCAGGATATAGTCATAGTTTAAGCTATTAATTCCAGATGGATTATTGAGTTGAAATGTGTAATGGGATGGTATGTGTAGTCATAACATAAGACGTGCAGAGAAAATGAAGGTCTTGAGTTTTGTCTTACTTAACCTGACAAATTATTGGCCATAACTATGCCCAATACAATCATCTAAGCTGTCTCTTTAGGTAATGCTCAGACTTTCTTATTTCTTCTTAATCCTACTCCACCCATCCACATTGTTTCCTTTTTTTTTGAGACAGAGTCTCACTCTGTTGCCCCAGGTAGAGTGCGAAGGCGCCATTATAGTCCACTGCAACTTCAAACTCCTGGCCTCAAGCCCCCTGCCTCGGCCTCCCGAGTAGCTGGGACTACCGGTGTGCAGCACCACCACACCCGGCTAGTTTTTTTCTATTTTTGGTAGAGATGGGATCTTGCTCTTGCTCAGGTTGATCTCGAACTGCTGACCTCAAGCGGTCCTCCTGCCTCGGCCTCCCATAGTGCTAGGATTGCAAGTGTGAGCCACCACGCCCAGCCCATTGTTTGCTATTTTCATAGATGGCATCTGGATATATTGAAGGTGAGAGGGATTTACTTGACCTGATAGTGACAGTAAAGGGATCATCGTATCTGCACAATTGTGACAGTGTCCTGGGTTCTTGCTCTTGGCAGCCATGGAGTGGTTTATCTGTCACCTTAGGTAATTTGGCCTTATCTGTTGCTATCTACTGCTGATACCAACAGACATACATACGGACACTGCAGCAGATGAACTTATGGTTTGTTCTTTTTCCAATTGGTAGGGGCCACGTGGCTTCTTTCTGCTCCAGCTGCCTTTACTCTGGTCTTACTGAGCTCTTGAGCCCTCTGAGACTGCCACAAGTTCTCTGTCGCCCTTGGCCTACAAGACACACTGTCATTATCCTCTGCTATTGCAGGATCACCCTACCCTGCCGTAAGGCCCTGTGGCAGGCGCATTAGCTCTAAACTCCATCTGTGACATGGGAACTGAGGGAGATTCAGGAGTGCAGATTATTTCAAGGGACAGATTTTCCCTCTTCCTTCTTTCTATCCACATCCTAATCTCTGCCAGTACAGACAGATGCCTTTTGTTGACTAAAGAGAGCTTATAGTGGAAAAAGTAAAAGAGAAAAGAATACTTAATAATTTTCAAATAACCCGTTATTAATAGCAATTAAAGAAATCATCAAGGAAAATATTGATAGAATTGACCTAGATGAAAACTATCCATTTAGAAAGTTAAAAATATTTAATTGAATCAGTACAACTGAAGATAATATTTATAGCAAATATAATTTATTAATCTGGTAAATATATAAAGAGTTGTACTTAACTGATTTTTAAAACAAACACCAAGTACATCTGCTACCACACAAAGAAATAACTGAATACAAGGGGGAAATTGCGGATAAGGGTTTGTGGTATCTTAATTCATGTTTAACACAGCACCAGGTTATATACGTATTGTGTTCACAGATAAGGTAAATTTTAAGAGTGTGTATGGTATGAAACAAAAGAATGAAAGGAAATGTGTTAAAACATTGGGTGTAGTTTTCTTTCAGCATTAGAGGTTATGGGGAATTTTGTGTTTTAATTTTTTAAAATCTCTATAACAAGCAGATTTTCTTTTATGGAGAGTGAAAAAAAGATACTTTTATTTGTTAAGTAAAAGACACTGGTCTCAAGGTTAATCCCCTAGTGATTGTTATTCATTTGGGTAGACATTGGATAAAGGATGCGTTTAGTTGTACTTAAGATATTTAATATATTAATACTTTTTCATTTTTATTTTTGTCTTTTAGGAAGCTATCATACAAATAATGAAAATGAGAAAGAAAATTAGTAATGCTCAACTGCAGACTGAACTAGTAGAAATTTTGAAAAACATGTTCTTGCCACAAAAGAAAATGATAAAAGAGCAAATAGAGTGGCTAATAGAGCACAAATACATCAGAAGAGATGAATCTGATATCAACACTTTCATATATATGGCATAATTTTGAACATCATCGACAATATTAAGAACCCAAATTTTGGAGTGCTTGGGCAGAAAGTTGTAACAGTTTGTGCTGGAGAAAGGTTTATTTGGACTTTGATTACATAAATATTAAAATCTCTGCCTTACCCTACAAAACAACTACATTTTGCCAATCACATTAGTTAGCATGATGGCATTCCCTTCATGTTGCGCACTCTCAACAGCATGCTGTTTTGTGGAGAAACTTGCATTCATGAAGAGCCCATTATGAACTTTTAAAAGTAAATTTGATTTATACCCACCAGGAGAAATATAGTTGGGAAGGGTGAGGGCGGGGTTCTTGTTGCTTTTTTTCTCTTTTTTCCTCTCTTAGAAAAATGTACTTGCACATGGAAGGATTTTCAGATATTCATGCACTGAAAAATGCTGTTATCTTTTGTTTTTAAAAAATGCAATTAAAACTAGAAATAGCACTGTTGGTTTCTTTTGATGAAAAAGAGTGAGCTGGTCAACACAACATTGGGAGAGGGCAGACGTCAGTGTGAAGAGAAGTATTTTAGAGTATCAAATTGTTTGTTCAAACACTGCTTCAGTATAATAACTGGATTTTAACAGTGGCCTAAAAATGGTATTAAATATTTCTAACTTACAAATGTTGGTTTTCTTTAAGCAGGAGACTGCTGTTTTATTTGTTTGTTGTTAAATGATGAGTTTTTTAAAAAATCTTACATGGCTGGACAGCTTGTTTTGAAAAAGTGAAGCTTATATTGTTGCTTCAATTGTTTAAAAAAATGTATGGAGATAGGTCATTGTGATTGCAGAGTCAAAGAGCAAAACAAACATATTAAGTGTGTTTGCTAACACACTTAATATTTATATACCTAATATTTATTATGCCATATCTAAATTTATTAAAAACAATGCAGAGATCTCCTGCTCTGATAGAGTGCAGTTATGTAACTGATCTCTTAATCTGTAGCGTTAGAACTATTTTGGTATTTTAAAGTCTCATGATTAGGGATTTATAGCCTCAGGTTTCTGGAAAGAAAGACATTTTCTTTTAAAAGGTAATAATTAAGTATCAGTCACCTAAGAGGAAGAGAAAAACCACAACATAAGACCTGAAAAGCATAAGCAAAATTGTTGCAATCTTAATGTGAGCAGTAAACTTGCCAAATATATGTACATATATATTTATATATTTTAAAAATAAACATTTTTAAAATGTTCAGAAGGCAACATTTACCATGTTCCTTTCAGTCAATCCAAAGTAGCAACTTATTAGTTGCTGGCAACTGAATAACCCAGAGTAGTGGAAATTTTAAGACTTGAAGACTTGAACAATTTAAAACAGAAAAATTTATTCCCCATTGGGAAAGAATGCCTCAACATGGATTTTTACTCATTGTGGTGCACATTTCAAATTTTCTTGCAAATTATTTTATATCTTGTTTGATGTTAAGTGATATTTTTAAAATATGGTTTTGAAGATAGTAGGAAATGGAGTACGGAAAGGCATACAGTATTATATGATAGCAGAGTGCTTTTAGGAGCATTTCATGGAACCTGTCACCAATCCCAAGAGGCTTTGTGAGCTGCCTGCCTGAAAGGAAGAAAAGTAAATTTAAAACATTTAAGGTTTTGCTGATTATAGTTAAATGCCTGTTCTGAAACTCGTAGGAAATTGGAATTTTGTGTATAATTTAAAATCTTATGCTTCATCTTTAAGGTAGCATATGTCAATTAGTAGACCAAGCAATATGCTTGTGATGAATTAAACTAAAATTAGTGCTCACTGTTTTCTCTAATTAGATGACTGCTAACAATGGATAAATTTGAAATTTAGAAGAAATAATTTCGTAGTAATAGTGGCCCTTATGTTTAACAAATACTTTGGTATTGGCATATTTGCTTGTCCCAATACAAGAATGCCAAAGGAGGAAACAATGGGAGGAAAAATTACAGGCCATTTTTTAAAATTTAGGATTTGTTGTTTTGAACCATAATTGTTCTCAGTACTTCTTGGGAATCTTTTTGGTCATTTAATTTAAGAATGAGAGCCATGATGTTTTGATTTATAAAGGCAAATTTAATGCAAAAGTGGGTAACACTAAATCCATAGAAAGTTTTCTATTAAATTTTATAAATTTTTTAATAGCTAATTATGTCCTAATTGTATTTTGGGGATTGAACAGCAGAAAATACTGTAAACTTACAGTTTTCATCACTTTTTTTGTTATATATACAAAAGTTTAACTACTTTTTGGTATTTATGGAAACCATTTAGTTGACAAGGTGCCTATATTATTGAATTTTCTTTAAATATTTTGACAATAGATTTGCTAATTTAAAAAAAAAAAGGAATGAAAAAAATCTTACCAGCAATTTGCTAAAGGTACAGAATCACAGTTAATATCCTTTATCAGGTCTCTTGTCTCCAGTGTGCACTTAAAATTAGTGCTATATGAGCAGGGATGGAACCTGACATAGTTAAGGGAAAAGAAAATCCCCACCCCAAAATATACACACATATATATATATATTTAATTTTTTTTATGAGTAGCATGGTAATAGGATGCTTCAGAGGTTAACTCAAGCTTTGAACATTGATCTAATTTAAAGATGGAAACATCTGGAAAACGTTAGCCTTTGTTGCCATCTCATTGCCAGATTAAGTAGACATGAAACAAAATTTACGAAATGAAAATATATAACAATTTTGATGCTTACGATGGGATAAATATTAGAACATTACTGCTCCAGTGATTTAATGAGGATCTTGAAATAAATTCTGAAGTCTTCCAATTTTTACATTTATTAGAGGGGTCCCTGAATTCTGTCAACTCATTTATTTAAGTCTCTTGCTCTTATTTTGTGCATAAATGTTAAGATTTCCAAAAATGAAATGTTAGTTTTATTTTTACTTTTTATTAAATTTAATACAAAATATGACCTGAGTAGTTAAATGGTATTTTGCATTATTTGCAGTAGGATGTCATTAGCCCTGCTCAGAGGGCAAATTTTAAAACTTCAATTTGGAGGAAAGATTTGCTAGTTTTACAGAAAGATTTGCTATCTTATACTCAAGCTGGTTTTTCTATTTTCATGTAAATGACTGGGATGCTGTCTTATAAATTCTTCCAAGGTCATGTTTGTGAAATAAACATTACATGAGAGCTTTCCTGTCATCTACATTATCTGTCGTCTGGAGTGTTGAACAAATTTGAGTTCCTAAGTTGTGATCTATCCTCATATGGTCTATACGATTTTGAATGTGTGCCACTACATACTGAGATGATAATGCTGTACAATTTTAAATGGTAGCAGTTTCTGTATGCAGTAGGCTGAAATATTTTGATGAACTGCTTAATTTTTGGATTTTATTTTTTAAGTTGTATAATTTATTTTCTTGCAAAATAAAAATGTAATATAAAAGCTTTCACCTATCCAGAAAATGTTGATGTTCTACTATAAAATGATTTCTGAGTTTAATTAAAATTTGTATAGCAGGTATATTTTTATATTTCAAGGTGAAATATTAATAGTAAATCACAGCCAGCCTTAGGAATCAGATGGTTAAAAGTAACCCACTTATGTTTTTTAGATTCTCAAATTCTAGTTCAAAATAAAGCAATCAGGAATGTAGCTTTTTGACTGATAGGATGTGGCTGTCATACCTGGAAGAGGTCAAAAATTTCAAACCTAAAACAGATAATGCATTCATCAGTTTAGATAGGCCATGTCATAACAAAATTTTGTATCAAATAAAAAATATGTAAAAGAAATTATTTCACATTTTGGATATATTTGAAAATTTGTGAAATACTTATTTCAAAACTAGTGATAGTTTAGTAGTAAGGTTATGAAGATGAACAGATATGCTCAGGTATACACAGTTACACATCAAATGAACAATTTAATATTAATAATCAAAAAACTGACTATAGAAAACTTGGGATTGCATACAGGGACTTAATTGCATAGAGGAACTATGTTTAAAAGAAATTTAAAGCCAGGCACTGTGGCTCACACCTGTGATCCCAGCACTTTGGGAGGCTGAGGCAGGAGGATCACTTGAGGCCAGGAGTTTGAGACTAGCCTGGGAAATATAGCAAGACCCCAAGATAACCGTTCTCTACAAAAATAAAGAAAAATTAGCTAGGCATGGTGGTATATGCCTATTGTCCTAGCTACTGGGGAGGCTGAGGGAGGAGGATCCCTTGAGCCCTGCAGTCTGAGGTTGATGCCACTGCCCTCTAGCTTGGGTGACAGAGCAAGACCCTGTCTCAAAAAAAAAAAAAAAAAGCCAGGCTCAGTAGCTCACGCCTGTAATCCTAGCACTCTGAGAGGCCAAGGCAGGAGGATCGTTTGAGCTCAGGAGTTCGAGACCAGCCTGAGCAAGAGCGAGACCCCATCTCTACTAATAATAGAAAGAAATTAGCTGGACAACTAAAAATATATAGAAAAAATTAGCTGGGCATGGTGGCGCATGCCTGTAGTCCCAGCTACTCAGGAGGCTGAGGCAGGAGGATTGCTTGAGCCCAGGAGTTTGAGGTTGCTGTGAGCTAGGCTGAGGCCACAGGCACTCTAGCCCGGGCAACGGAGTGAGACTCTGGCTCAAAAAAAAAAAAAACCCAAAACAGATTTACTGTTAAGTTTAAGCTTTAGGGCCCCCTTACTTGGCACAGGCCGCTTCCAAGGTCCTGGGAGGGGCTCTAGGAATTTCCTATTGTAATTTTATATTACTTTTCTTAAAGATCCCCTAAATATCAAGTTGGATCCAGCCCTGCTAAAACAATGCAAAAAAGAAACGTGTCTGGCACAAAGGAGGATTGAATGAATGAGAGCATGTGTACCTGAGAACAGTAGACTTCAATATTTTAAGTTTAAATGGGAAGACTTTATTTCCAATTCCCCATTCTAGGCTATACAATCAAATGGACTTTTTATGTCATTGAACTCCTGTTTTGAGCAGTGTACAATCTGGAGCAGAGGTGACGATTGAGGAATTCCAGACTTTCATGAACATCTGATTCTGATTAAAGCAAAAGATACGCATGTAAAGATGTAAACAATTCTGTGTATAAATTTCGAGGGTTCACGCACCCAAGGCAAATTCTTTAATAGTGAGGTCCTTAGAGTGAGTAAAGCAGGTA